GACTACAGGTGTGAGCCACCGGTGCTAGATTCCTTGTAATTGAAAAAAATGTATAGCATATTTACTATGTGTCTCATTTTTTAAAAAAAATTATTGTTACTATAGAGGTGATCTATTGAGGGGGCTACAGTTACATAAGTCAGGTAAAGAGTACATTTCCTTTTGGACAATGTTTGCTCCTGGTCCCATTCTGTTGTAAGCTCTTGATAATACAGAGCTTTAATTTCACCCAAGTTCTATGCTGAGAATGATACCCCTTTCTCCATCTTCCAAACCAGCAAACCTACTTAGTGAGGACAGGCTGGGATTGAAAATCAGGGTCTTAGCCACCACTCTCCTATGTTTGAGGTGTGAGATGCCTTTTCCCCCTTCTTCTTCATTGCTGCATTTGAGATTCTTTGAAAGCTCAGGCTTGTTTATGAGCAGATTTACTCACGATAGGAAACCTGGCCCTTCTCTGACGGTGGCTGCATGCTGTAGGCCTTTCTCATTTCTCCCTTCACATTTCATTTTGTGTTGTTTAATTTGTGTAAAGACAGTGGGTTTAACCTAATTTTACTTAATTGCCTGTGTTCATGCTCTTGCTGCACTTTTTTTTTTTTAAATAAATTTTGGAAGCCAGAAACTGGTAGACAGGTACTTTTCTGACAAATAAAAAAGGTGGTTTATTGCAGATTCTAAAACTGGAAGATTGCTTACTCCAAGATGCAGGCCTCCCCTCCTTCTGTGGGACTGTGTAGTAGTTTATATTAGCCAGTGTCTAATTATACCCCAAACAACAGGGTAACTGAATAGTGGGTCACTATGTGATGGAATAATAAAATACTGGGACAGTGCTCTTTTTTGTTTGTGTTTGTTTGAAGTGCCACTACTGAGCTTGAACTCAGGGCCTGTATGCTGTCCCTTAGCTTTTTCACTCAGTGCTGATACTCTACCCCTTGAGCCACAACTCCATTTCTGGATTTTTTGGGTGGTTAATTGGAGATAAGAGTCTCACGGACTTTCCTGCTTGGTTTGACTTCCAACTGTGATTCTCAGATATCAGCCTCCCAAGTTGCTAGAATTACAGGTGTGAATTCCCCGGGCCTGGCTGGGACAGTGCTATTTTTTTTTTTAACCCAGCCGATTTGATATCTGTTCCCCAAAGGGAAACATGTTACACATGTCACATGTTACAACATGTTACATACAGAATATGTAAACATATTCTGTTTTAATGCAGTTGCCATATGATATTGTTGTTTGAAAATTCTACATTTCAGGGAATTTATGATTATTAATGGTTTACTAAGATTTTGGTCCGTCCTGTAGCCTCCAGTTCTCAATCTGATTATTTCAACCTTTTCCCATCCCCATCTCAACCTTCTTTTCTATGCTCCTGATATTTCCTGTGTGCTTCAATGTTACTATATCCTTAGTGTTGTTGTTGACTAATTAAAGAACTCAGTGCTCGTCTTTATTTCATTCAGGGGTGATGTTTACTAAACAGCCATGGTACATGGTTACTTCACTGTGATTTTAATGCTCTAATGTATTCTGCACATGCAAACTGACATGAGTCTCTCAGTTTTGTGCTTTTGTTTTGAGCAGTAAGCCAGCTCAGTGAGCATTGGTTTCCTTTCCACTCTTCCCTGGGCCTTGTTTGTTTTGTTTGGGAAAAAGTGTATCCCATGTGAGTGAAATGAATTGAATTATAACTAGGTTTATACTCAGTTGCTTCATATCAAAGGAGCTGCGTGGCTGAAACGACAGAATTTTGTTCCTCATAATTCTGAGCCTCCTGTTCTTGGGCCAGTGGATGTCCATCTTTTGCCAGTGTCTTTCTTTGCTCTTCTCTGTGTGTTTGCCATCTAATTGCCTCTCCTCCAAGAACACCGGCCATATGTATTGAAGTTACTCTAATAATGTAATTTTTTTTCTTTTTTTATTTTATTTTATTTGTGAAGATACTGTACAGAGAGGTTACAATTACATGGGCAGGATAATGCGTACATTTCTTACCAAGCATTGCAGCCTCCTCCTTTTGTTTACCCTTCACATCCCTTCCCAGCCTCCCCCCTCCCCGCCAATCCCAATCTTTCTCCTTCCCCCACTTCCCCCCCCCCCCCGCACCGACGTTGTAAAGCTCGTTTTGGACATGACAACTTGTACTTCTCATTGTTGCAACAGGTCCACCTGTATCTTTAAACAACTGGTTTTTCCCCATCTCCTCCACAAGTTAACTGACATCAAATATAGTGAAAGCAGGGGTTATACTGTGGGGGAGGGACATACAAAGCAACAAAGAGATAATCTTATAAATGCATTAGAAACACATGTATGAAAGAAAAAAAACATTAAAATACATATCAAAGGGTTCATTTTCCTGACATCACATTATCTGATCTTTTAATTGGGTTACTTAAAAAAAAATCTTTACTGTAAAAGTGATAAATGGGGTTACAGTTATATAAGTCAGGTAATGAATACATTTCTTTTTCTTTTCTTTTTTTTTTGTCGGTTGTGGGACTTGAACTCTGGATCTGGGCACTATCCCTCGGGTCTTCAGCTCAAGGTGAGCTCTTTACCACTTGAGCCACAGTACCACTTCTGGCTTTCTGAGTGGTTTTTTGGAGATAAGAGACTCTTGGATTTTCCTGTCCAGGCTGGCCCTGAACCGAGTAACTAGGATTACAGGCGTGAGCCACGGGTGCCCGGCTGTACATTTCTTTTTAAACACTGTTACCCCTTCCTTGGTTTTCTCCCTCTTACCGTTCCCTAATCCCCTCCCCTGACCAAGCTGTAAAGTCCATTTCCAACATAGTGTCTATTGAATACCATTGTGCATTAATTCATCCTTTGTCCTACTGTTTCTGTGTTTCCTGTTCCCTTCCATGGATCAGATAAACTTATATACAAGACAAAGGGTACAGAAAACTAAAACAGAGAAAAAAATAGAAGTAACTGCATACAGGACATAATAAGAACCTCTTGTTTCCAATTCTTGGAGTTGATTTTGATATGCTTCATTATCTGGGTTACTTGTTTAAAGACTGTCTCTAATATATTCTGAGGTCTGGGGACCAATTTATGAAATTTTGAAGGGCACCATTCAGCCATAGCATGTCTACAAGAGTTGTCTAAAATAACATACTTGACCTTGAGGACCAGTTAAAACAACAACAACAATGTAAAGCATTCTGGAGAGGACTACATCTTGCAAGTCTGAAGAATGTGGGGTCTGCTCACTGAGCTGGCTAAGTGATGTAGGGTAAAATTCATAGCAATTCATCTTTCCTGCGCACATTCCTTGACTTTGAACTCACTGAGATCCAGTTCTCTTAAGTACTTCTAATCCTTTGTGATTCTGTTTTAATAACTGTTTTATAATTAGACCTCACTGCTTATTTGTGGAGATTCCTTGAGAAGCATGTCTATACATCCCCTGCTCAACTCCCATGTTGATCAGGTAGAATGCAGAAGAGCAAGGCTTGTGGCAACAGACCTTGCTTTGAATTTGAGTATTCCTGTATCCCAGTTGAAAAGGAAAGCACTGCAAAAGGCTCTCTCTTGGCATTTTACAAGCCAGGTGAACAGTAGATGGATTATATATCCTCTAGGAGTCTTAATTCTTCATCTATAACACAAAGTCAGGGTAGATAGAAGGTTTTCCCTTGTTACTGTTGCCACTGTAAGTAATACTCACACAGGGGGCCTGGTGTTTTGTTGGCCTCCACCACCCAGGTAGGGCATCAGTCTCAAACACTGCTGACTCTCCTGGCTTCTTCTAGCTGCCAGACTCCATACCTCAGAAGCCAATGCAGCTTGCGGCTGTTAGATTGGACTGGATTGATAGCAGTGACCCTGACCTTAATTGCTGTGTGACACAGCCTCCCTGCTAGACAGATGCCAGTTCAGGGAGTATGGGACAGTTCCACTGACTATCAGTTGAACCTGATAGCTCCAAATGGTTATCACAAGATCACACTCTCCTTCCCACATTGTACCAGGAGGCGAATGGTGCCAGAGTGTGGGACAGATGTAATCTATCCTTATGCATGATTTGAAGATGTGTGGGCATTCATGTTGCCAAAAATGAGTTCTGGACCTGTGTCTACCATTTCTAACCCAGAAAAAGCCCCATCTACCTGAGATGGTTTTTTGAGAAGGTTAAATGAAATAATTGTACATGCACTTGTATATGTGCACATGTCTGTGAGTGCATATGTGTGTACATGTATGTGTATGTGTTTTTGTGTATGTTGGATAAGGGAGATAGCAATGTGCCTTCCACCTACATTGTTCCAGTTAAATTCAATATTTTTTGGTCATGTTGGGATTGAGTATATAAATCAAGTATTTACAAATACTCAGGTGATGGTTATTCTTTGTCTTGTACGATCAGTTGATTTAGGGCATGATTTTGTTTCATTAAAGCCATTAGAAAAGACAGGCAGTAGTGGCTCATGCTTGTAGTCTTAGCTACTCAGAAGACTGAGATCTGAGGATTGTGGTTCAAATCTAGTCTGGGCAGGAAAGTCCTTGAGACTTTCATCTCCATTTAACTATCAAAAAACCCAGAAGTGGAGCTGTGGCTCAAGTGGTAAGAGTACTAGCCTTTAGCAAAAACAAAAAAACCTCTAAAGACAATGCCCAGACCCTGAGCTCAAGCCCCAGGACTGATACCAAAACAACAAACAACAACAAAAATCCAAAACCAAAAAGCAAACCATCACCACCAACAAAACCAATAAAAAACCCCACCCATCCAACCAACCAATCGCCCCCACCTAATATTAGAAGAGGTGGAATAGAGGTGAAATTTCTATTTATAGAAATAAAGATTCTCCAGTTCTCTTTGGCTCATCTATGCTAGCCATTATATAAAAACATTAAAACAGGACACTGGTGACCGTAGAAGTTGCCTGGAAAATTTGCCTTGGCTAACCTCGTTATCATTGCCTTCCTGTGTGCCTTCTGCTTGTATCTTCTCCATTGGAGTCGAACTTTCTCAGTTGTAAATGACGGAAACTCAACGTAAGTACTAATAGGCTAGAAAGGAAAGTTGTTTCCGTTCAAATAGAAAATTTTAGGTGTGGAAAACCTCCAACAAGGTTTAGACTCAGAGCTATTCTAGGATATTACCAGAGCATTTTCTCTCTCAAGTGAATTTATTCTCTGAAAAAAAATTAAAGTAATAACCACCAGCATCACCAGAATTGTGCCCTATAACTTCCAATGGGAAAGGAAGAAACAGTTTTATCTTCTAGTACCCATATATTAAATATCAAGGAAGATGTTGATTGGCTGTACTTGACTCACATGACCATCCTAGGACCATGATTGGCTGGTTTGTGGAGTAGCCGGGTCTGACTATGTGACAATCACCATGGTCTTGATTGACCGGTCCACTGAGAGCATCACTTATCCCACAAGAAGAGCTGTTTAGCAAACAGATCTATCTGGAACAGATAACTAGCATCTCAAATTATCAAGGGATTATTTGAGCATTTCTCCTTTTAGTTTATAGGGCGTGCCTATCATAAAGTTATACCTGCTCCATTGGAGAGTTTTGCATGGCATGTTTCAAGCCTGTTTGAGATGAGAAGATGACTCAGGAAAGGTGCTCATCCAGGGGAGTACAATTACAGAGATAATCGAATAGTGGCAACATATTTTGGTGATTGCTGAGATTAATACAAGTGTGGATTATTATTTTTTGGGGGGGAGGGGAACAGGTGAAGACACACAAAGTAACCATAATGACCTTTTCACTTTTTGGTAGGGTTAGATGATTGCCTGCAGCCCTACGTGCACAAGTTTGAACGGGAGAAGATAGACGGAGAACAGCTGCTACGAATTTCGCACCAGGACCTTGAGGAGCTCGGGGTCACACGGATCGGGCATCAGGAGCTGGTGTTGGAAGCTGTTGATCTTCTCTGTGCACTGGTTAGTTGGGGAAAAGGTGATCTGTATTGTGTGATGTCTTCCTGCAGAACCTGTCACTCAGATGCTAAGTGTTAGTAATTTAACGTATCTTCCTTTACTGAATGAGCCAGCAAAGCGAAGCCTGAGTTGAAGACAATATAAAAAGGAAAGTAAAAGTTATTTTTCTAGAGGAAAGGCTAGCCCACTGTCCATTGTTTTATTAAATAAGGTGTTATTGAGACACAACATGGACAGGCGTCTGCATGTGTACAGTACAGTTTTTGTACTGGAGTGATAGCCTTCCCTTCCCTTCCCCTTCCCCTTCCCCTTCCCCTTTCCCTTCCCTTCCTTTCCCTTCCTTTTTCTTTTTCTTTTTTTGGTCGGTCATGGGGTCTGAACTCTGGGCCTGGGCACTGTCCCTCAGCTCTTCAGCTCAAGGCCAGCCCTCTGCCACTTAAGCCACGGAGCCACTTCCAGCTTTTTCTGCTTATGTGGTGCTGAGGAATTGAACCCAGGGCCTCATGCATGCCAGGCAAGCACTCTACCACTGAGCTACCTTCCCAGCCCGTAGTCTTATTTTCTTATCTTTCAAAAATAACCAAAAGACAGAGATGGTCTTGAATGAACATGTCACTTTCTCAAATGAAATGAAAAAATCTTCTAATATTCATGTTTTTATCTGGAAGCTAGGTACCAGTGCTCATATCTATAATCCTATATACTCAGGAGGCTGAGATCTGAGGATTGAGGTTTGAAGCCGGCCTGGGTAGGACAGTCTGTGAAACTCCTATTTCCAATTAACTACCCAAAAAAACTGGAAGTAGAGCTGTGGCTCAAGGGATAGAGTGCTAGCCTTGAGCACAAAAGCTCAAGGACAGCTCCTAGGCACTGAGTTGAAGCCCCAGTATTGGTACACACATGTGTACATGCACACACACACACACACACACACACACACACACACACACACAACATTTGGAATTTCACAGATATTCAAGCTATTTAAGATAACTGATGCTTATGCTTGAAATAATGAACCCTAAAATATGGCAGCTAGATAGGGTTAATGTCATTGAATATAGCAGGTCATAGAGCTTTGGCTATCAGTGAACCAGTTAAATCCTGCCAGGTCTGACACTTGTGATCTGCCTGTGACCACATAGGTGTGGTGTGTGTGTGTGTGTGTGTGTGTGTGTATGTGTACATGTACACACACACACAAAACACCTGTTAAGGGCATTTTGTTTACAAATTGTTGGCATGGGTGAGATTCTTGTGTGCCAGTCTTGGTGCCCTCTAAGGCTACAGTTTACTGTCACTGGTTATTCTCACCAGCATTCAAACTGGGTTAGTCATAATCTGAACCCAGGCCAGGGGGACAGGCAGTGACATTACCCAGAATGATAGGAACCAGTGTGCTTGCAGTGATTTTGCCATTGCTGGTGAGCATTGCATTGATTATATAACCATGCTGCACTGTGTGTATTCTTCTTCTTAAAATGGACAGAGCTTTGGCCTCTGGGCTGAGATGCACTGCTCTCATTTAGAAAAGTAATGGGGGAATGCTTTGTGGTTGATAAATGAGCTGCCACGCGGGAGAAGCAGTGGCCAAGTCGTCTGAGAGTTGGCCTGGGAGGCAGGATTTTTGCCTTCTAGTCCTGGCTCTGCTCCAGGCTGTTTGCTCTGTCACCTCCAGTGAAACCACAGTGTCTGTTTTCTCCATCCGTACAGTAACAGTCCCCTTCCATGTGGCGGTGTCCCCAGTGTGTTTTTTGCATGGTTGGGGATATGCCTTGAACATCCTGTTTATTATTAAAACTGTCTGCTTTTCAGAGTCAAACAGACTTGAATTTACTTTTATGATGCTTTCTGGGAACAGGGTTTTGGAGTTCTTTCTGGTGGATGTTTCTGAGAATTTGAATTGTCTCTTTCACTTTATAGTCATACTTGGAGGACAAATAAATTGCTTTGAAATTCACAGTTCGAGAGGCCTGGCAAAGGGGTCAGCTAGAGGCAGGTTATGTACATTAAGTTGGAGGATAAACGTAATTGCAGTATCTGGGCATTCTCTTCGCCTTTTCCTCCCCTCTGCCTTTTAAAATATTAGACTAAAAAGAACAAAGCTGGATAAATGCCAGGACCCAAAGCTGTGTTTTATCCTGTGTGTTACCCCATTCCCTTCTCATTTCCTCTGTAGACCAAGCTTTTGACCTTGGACTCTCTCTGGACCTCCTCTCTGTGCCCATGAGACAGGGGGGTTGTGAAGAGTTTGCAAATGGATGTGCCTTTTTTGGGGGGTGCTTGGGAAGGTGTACTAGATTTTTACTAAAATGTCACTAATCTTCATGTAATTTTCTTTAAAAAATGTATAGTTTTAAAATGTATAGGTCTATTATCCTGTTCCTTTATTTCAACACCATGCAGATCTTTGGATGTGTAAATTGGGTAACGTTTTGCTTTGGATAGTTCATCTGCTCAGCAATTCATGTGTAACCACCATTGGTTACACATGTTATAAAAGAGATTTTGCTATGCAAATTCGCTTTAGTGGGTGCTGATTTTATGGTAGACAAGAAGTAAATAGAATGAGAAGTGAGGAAAGAGGCAGGAAAAAAACCAAAACCACTGGAAGGTTATGGAATAAAGAGAAACTGATAGAATGGATCGGGACCAGAATGGGAACAGTGGCTAATTACTATTCCAGGCCTGGTGAACAGTGACTCACAGCAGTCCATCATGGTTAGAGAGCAAAGGGGGAAACCATCTTTTGAAGCATTGACCTTGAAGGCTGGGGTAGCTTGGTAGAGGGCCTTGTATCCTGAGAGAGAATTGAGAGTTACTTCCCAGGGTTGAGTTCTGAAGCTGAGCCCAGTTTTTCCTCTCCTCTCTCTGGGTACAAAGTGACTGGCACAGACCCTAAAGCTGCTCTTTCTAGTAGGGAAGCTGCTACCATATGTAGCTATTTAAATGAGAATTAGTTGAGATCAAAGCTAGCCTCCAATGAAACTGTCTCCTCTACAAGTGGTGAGTAGGTACATGTGGCTGGTGGCTGCTGTACTGGAACCCAGATGAAGACTTCTTGTGTCTCTAGAACGTTCCACTGGATAGTAAGGGTGTGTGGTGGACAGTAAAGAGGTACAATAGGCTGGTTGTCAATGGCTTTTGTCTGTGATTCTAGCCACTCTGGAGGCCCAGATCTGAGGATCATGGTTTGAAGACAGCCTGGCAGACAAATCTGATGAATGCTTATAACCAATTAACCAGCAAATAGTTGGAAATGGAAGCATGGCTCAAGTGGTAGGGTACTATCCTTGAGCGCAAGGCCCTGAATCCAAGCTCCAGAACTGTGGCATAGTTGGCCTTGAACTTGTGTCCATGACACATCTTTGTCATGGAAAGTAGATCATGGTGGGAGCCATGGACGGAGGAGAAGTTGTGTAGTTTATTATTGGCTATAAGGTATGGACTTTTAAGGCCCTAGAAAAGGAAGAGCCTTGCCTCTTCTCTTCCCTCTTGGCTAGTGTATGGTCTCACAGCCAACAAATATTTGCTAACGGCCAACTCTTAATGGAGTGAGCCCACAGTGGAAGGGTTTTAGGATGTGCACTGACTTTTAAACTAATTCCATTTATTATTATTATTGTTCTTAGTCTTACTGGCATTTTTGAACACAGGGCCTTATGCTTGCTCTGGGCATTTGCTCTACCAATTGATCCATGCTTCCAGCCCTATTTGCTTTAGTTATTTTTTTTTTCATAGAGTCTCAAGATTTTCCTTGGAGTAGCTTCATAACATGATCCTCTTACCATTGCCTCCTGTGTAGCTGGGATTATAGACATGTACTGCCATGCTCAGCTTGATTTGTTTTACTTGATGGAGCCAAGTTTTGAATCCAGGGCTTGTCGGCTAGATGCTATACTCCAGAGCCATGTCTTCAACTTTGTTTTTGCTGGTTATTTTTTAGATAGGGTCTTGTTTGCTTGCCCAGGAGTACCTGGACTGTGGGCTACCTATTTCATGCTTCCTTTTGCATATGCCACTATGTCTAGCTTCCTTCCACTGAAATAAAGTCTTGAAATTTTTTCCCACATAAATGGCCTGGAACCATGATCTCAGCCTCCCATGTAGCTTAGGGAAACAGGAGTATACCCAGCTGTGAGTTGAGAAAGGACCTTGTGAACTTTTTTTTTTTTTTTGCCTGTGCTCATCTTGAACTGTGATCCTCCTACTCTCAGCTTTTCCAAGTAGTTAGGATTATAGGGATGGTCCACCAGAGCCCATCTCTAGCTTATTATTATTATTGTAAGATGGTGTCTCACTGACTCTTTGCCAAAATTAGCCTCAAACTGCGATTCTCCTGTCTCTACCTCCTAAGTAGATGGGTTAGGGATGTTATGCCTGGCCTTGTCTCTTCTTCTCTTTCCACATTTCCATTCTCTTTTCTTCCTCTTGTTCTTTCTTAATCCTCCTCCTCTTTCTTCCTCTCCCTCCCCATTATTTTCCCTTCCCATTGTTCCTCCTCTTTTCCTTCTTTGCCTTGGATGAAGCCCACGGACTCTCACGTGCTAAGCAGATATTTTACCCCTTAGTTACACTCTCAGACTTGTTTGTACCTTTCTGGTGTCTTACACTAAAACATTACCTGAAGGAGACAGAATTTAGGAAAATGACTCAAGAAAATAGTCAACTCTCATCTGAGAAATTCCTCATTTTCTGCTTTTCATTGTGAGACACCGATGTCTAGGCCCTTCCTGACTGTGGTCCTTTCCAGCTAATATAATTTGTTTCTTGTTCTCTCCTTATTGTAGCATGGGGTCAAAGGAAAAGAAACTTTGCTTTATCCTTCCTTCTCTTTAAAAATTATATTCAATTACCATTTTATCTCTCCATCTTCCCAGTTGTGTGATTTGTTTGGGAGAAAAAAATTTAGAGCAAATGAAGTGGCATATCAAGAGAACCCGTTATAAGAAGTTACGCTCTCCCTTTATTTTAAAGTTTGTCCAAGAGGAAGGTTTAAAGTCTCTTTGGGTTCAGGAAGAGAATGCTTGTGCATAAGAATCCCCAGTAGTTGGTGGTGACATGGGCTGTAGCAAGCCAGCCTTCCTGCTTGGAGTCAATGTTCTGCACATAAATCAGCAGGCTGGGTAATTGAGCTAATCAGTCACCCGCCTTCAAGACAAATCAGGTCATGTGGACCCTTGATCTGCTCAATTGTGAGCCTTTAGTTCTTTGGATTAAAATGCAGTGATGAATAACCATCTTTTCATTCTTGTCTTCTATATACATATTTGCCTTTAGAAAATGTAAGTGATGGGAAAATAAGTGATCAGAAGACCGAGCTGTTAGCTCACATTTGTATTTTGAAATTTACAAACTTACACAATCGTGTTTTAGACTTACAAAAAAGATTGTGTTTAGTTTGTGTTTAACTACTTTTTAGCTAAATTGTTTAACTTTTTAGTTAAATTGTTTGTTGCTGTTGTTATAGTTCAATTGTGTTTAACTTCTGTCAAAATTTCTATGTGGAGGGGGAAGGGGTAAATTTGTATGCATGTATGAAGAGGTCATAATGAGTCAAGCATGGTAGCTGTCATCCTAGCTACTCAGAGATTGGGAGGATCATGGTGTGAAGTCAACCTGGGCAAAGCGTGAGCACAACCCCATTCCAGCCTTTAAAATGCCTGGTGTGTCCCTGTCATCTGAGCCATCTAGAAACTGCAAAAAACCATCATGGTTCAAACTGGCTTAGGCCAAATGGGAGATCCTATTTGAAAAATAACTAAAGCAACAATCCGTAGCATACCTTTTTAGCAAGCCCAAGACCGTGAGTTCAAACCCCAGAATGATGTGCACGCATAAATAAACAAATGAAGTCATAATAAAAATCTATCTTAAAAATTTACAAGAAATATTGAAAGAAAGAGGTGAGATTGGGTAGGAAGAGTGGCATAAGATAGAGTAATGGAGCGGGCAAAGCTGACCAAAGTGTATTATAGCCCTGTTTGGAAATGTCACAATGAACCTCCCACATTGCACAATTGACATGTGCTTAAAAATATGTTGAAAAAATTTCAATGTGCATTTTGTGTGTGCATGCGTGCATGTGTGTGTGTGTGTGTGTGTGTGCGCGCGCGCGCGTGTGCATGCGCCTGCGCTGACATCAGGATGCAGGTGCTGTGCCTTTTTCTCCCAAGCTAACACTTTAGCTACATTTCTATTTCTGGCTTTTTGGTGGTTAATTGGAGGTAAGAATCCTATGGAGTTTCGTGCCCAAGCTAGCCTCAAACTCTTAATGTGACGTGTGTGTGTGTGTGTGTGTGTGTGTGTGTGTGTGTGTGTGTGTGTGTTGTGGGGCTTGAACTCTGGGCCTGGAGGTAAGAATCCTATGGAGTTTCGTGCCCAAGCTAACCTCAAACTCTTAATGTGACATGTGTGTGTGTGTGTGTGTGTGTGTGTGTGTGTGTGTGTGTGTGTGTGTGTGTGTGTGGTGGGGCTTGAACTCTGGGCCTGGGTGCTGTTCAGATCTTTAGCTCAAGGCTTGAGCTCTACTACGTGTGTGTGTGTGTGTGTGTGTGTGTGTGTGTGTGTGGTGGGGCTTGAACTCTGGGCCTGGGTGCTGTTCAGATCTTTAGCTCAAGGCTTGAGCTCTACTACTTGAGCCACTGTGTCACTTCTGGTTTTCTGGTGGTTTATTGGAGATAAAGAGTCTCATGGAGTTTCCTGCCCAGGCTGGCTTTGAATCATGATCCTCAGATCTCAGCCTCTTGAGTTGCTAGGATTACAGGCATGAGTCACTGGTGCCCGGCTTATGTGGCATTTTTAAGACTTTTAGTTTTATTACTAAGCCAGGCAAATGGAAACTCCCAACAAAATGCATTTCAATTTAGAATTGCTTTTAATGAACGCCTTTGTGGTGAGTATATATTCAGACTTCTGTATGCATTTGTGCCTTACATGTAATGGTTTGAAGGTGGCTAACCCTCTGGCCCTGGGGACTAACTGGATGGCTGGGCTGGCTGAGAGGAGGGCCTGGCATTTCAGCGTGGCCAGCGCAGGTCAGAAGAGAATTTACACATTTCTGGCTCATTCATTTGTGCTAGACTTGGTATCACTAGCCAGCTTCCCTCCTCTTCGTCATCCTCCTCCTCCTCTTCCTCTTCTCATCTCCCTGTTCCTCCTTCTCGTCCTCTTCTTCTTTTTTGTCTTTATCTGTAAAATAGAAATATACATTGAGTAGTATCATATAACCACACATATGCTCTTCCTTTTTGTTAAAATAATCAAAAACATTAAGAAATGTATATGAGATGGAGTCTAAAACATATCTATCTCCTAATTTTATATATTTCCCGAGGCTGGTGGTTCTTAATCTGAAAGGGGGGTCTGGGACAGTATTATGATACAACTTTGGTGTTTTTAAGGCACTCAAGGAAGTTGAACATTGTTTAAAAACACATCCCAAGAGTTGAGCTGTGTGCTAGTGGCTCACACCTGTAATCCTAGCCACTCAGGAGGCTGTGAACTGAGGATCTCAGTGCGAAGCCAGCCTGGGCAATAAAGTCCATGAGACTTACCTCCACTTAGCCATCAAAAAGCTGTAAATGGAGCTTTGGCTCAAGTGGTAGATCATCAGCATTGAGCATAAAAGCTCAGGGACAGTGATCAGGCCCTGGGTTCAAGCCCCAGTATTGGCTGGCACACAGACACACAGACACACCAACACATAGACACACACACACACACACACACACACGTTTGGTGCTCATAGTTGGATGTTACATTTCAGGTGGACTTACATTCTCTGTCATCTCTGATGGAAGTTCATCTGTTGGCTGACTAGTGTTGTCTGTCTACTGTCTGGCAACATTGGTGAGCACCCACCACGCAGAGCCATGCTCCCTCACCATGACCCACTCGGTGTGACTTCTGGGAACACACAGCAATGACATGTTAGAGGGACAGTTTGAGCTGTCCAGTCTGGAGTGGGGCAGCTCTTGGTATAGAGCACGTGGAGGCGAGGGGTGCTGCCGAGGGCCTAGGCACCCCATTTGTAGTGGCTGTGGGAGTCACTGTGGAGGGCTTTACATTTTCCCCTCTAATTATTCAATTATTTAGTTGTTTAATTTAATTTCCCACAGAATTACAGCCTCGAAACGGATAACATGAAGAACTTGATTCTGAAACTGAGAGCCTCTTCCCACAACTTACAGAACTACATCAGTAGCCGGCGGAAGAGTCCAGCTTATGATGGAAACACCTCCCACAAGCCGCCCAATGAGTTCCTGACGTCCGTGGTGGAGCTCATCGGCGCTGCCAAAGTCTTGCTGGCGTGGCTGGACCGGTAGGCCGGGGCCCTGCCCTCTGCTGTCCTTTCAGTGAGGTTCTGAAGTACACCGATGCCTGTCCTTTGAAAATGGACCCTTGTCCCTTAGACATAGAGCTTCCTGGAAGGCAGAAGTTCCAGAGGAGAGGGTGATCTTGGAGTGGTTTTTTGGCTTTGTTTTGTTTTTCAGAAGCTACTTACTCAGCTATAACAAGAGGAGCAAATGAACCCTAGCTAGGAGATGAGAGAAACTGCTAAAGGTGGACTTTTTTTTGAGATTCAACTTTAATACTTGAGGATTTGGTTGGTATGTAGACTGTTCAGGGACTTCTGAGGAAACGTTAACCCTTCTGGCTCATTTAGGGGTGAATTTTTTGCCTATCTGCTGCTTTTCTAGTCAGAGTCCTATTTTACATGTCCTTTGAGAGGAAACAGTTATGTGAAAAATGATCTAAGCTGGCCTGTAGTGTAGTGTGAGTCTCCCCTACCTCCTCCTCCACTGTTCCTTATGAAGAATTTTTGGTATCTTTCCAGGCCTCCATTTACAGGAATCACTGATTTCTCTGTAACGAAGAACAAGATCATTCAGCTTTGTCTGGACCTGACCACCACCGTCCAAAAGGTCAGTACATATCATTACGCTATCTGAACTTACCTCTTCCTCTTCCTGCTTCTTTAAAGGGGTTTCCCGAAGGTTTGAAGTAACTCTCCACCACAACAAAACTGGAAGATGCAAGGCTTTCAATTTATTTGTATGTATGACTTCAGTGAGAAATGGCAAATAGTAATCACACATTACCTTTCGTTTGTTTGTTTCACAGTGGTCCAGGTAATACTCATTTACCTCTTCTGAAATGTTAGAACACTTAAAAAAAAAAAGAAATTCTCGAATAACTAAATATCCCTGTCATCTTTGTTCTGAGTGAACACTCTGCTTTCATTTTCTCTTTGGTTGTTGGATCTACTGGTCAGTAACCAACCAGTAACTAACATCTCCCAGCTCGCAGTGATTTCCTCCTTGACTCTGTCCTCAGATGGCTCTGGCCAGGAAGTCTCTGATTCTCCTCACTTGTTCAGTGTCTCACATTGCTGCCCATGACAGAGAGACAAAGAGCCGTGGAGGTTCCCGTGATCAGGGTTGGACGTGCCATGTTGGGCGTGACATTTCAGCTTCACTCATGGGTCCTCAGACAGAGGCATTTCAGCAAGACCATGTGATGTTTCCTGTCAGTCAGTCCGTCCACACCTTCCCTAGCTTCTATGATTTAACTTAAAAGGAAAAGAAATAAAATAGACTAGATTATAAGCACTTAGGACAACTTGTTACATTACGTGGTACATAGCAGATGCTGCTAAATTACTTTGGAGTTGAGATTTTAAAAGCTCAGGAAGAAGTTGTTTCTTGTTCACATCCTCCTGTTTGGTTTCTAGAATTCTATGAGTTGATGTTTGTTCCTATGATGATCTGCAAAAAAATAAAAAGAAAGCATATCTTTCCCTTCACCAATGCATTCAGGGAAGCCGTGCTTTCTCCTTACGTCTGGAACCTGAAGTCAAGTGTGCCTTTGTCTGTGGTAGTTGTGTGAAGCATCCCTAAACAGCCATTGGAGTTAAGCATGCGTGCACGCGCGTGCACGTGAGCGCACACACACACACACACACACACACGTATGCCCCACACTAATCTTTTTGTTTGTTTGTTTTTTACATTTCAAAAAATTTTCTTTTTATTTAAACACAAAACACATTTACAGCATGCAGATTAACTTAAAATTATGACGTCTTCCCCAACCAATACCTTTGAATGTATCTTCAAGCCCTGAAAATAAACCCAACATATTCCATAGGTAGACTCAGACTCTCCTTTCACCTCATATCAGATTTGTTACACACAAATTGAGTTATGCACAGTAGTTAGTTTCTTTAAGTAAATAATTTAATTGATCATCATGAATAAATACTACTTTTATTTCACTTTCTCTTCTGAACCACTTACCAATACCATTCAGAGGATTGTTAATATATCCAGTCCAAAATTTAAGAAATTAAAAAAAAAGACACTGCAGATGGAAACAATCTCAACATTCTAGATGACCACAAGTTTCTATTTATAAGATTAAATGTTTAATGATCTACCAAAGCAAAGAAAACCTACTAAAAACAAATTTATAAGATTCTTGGTATACATCATAAAACTTTGCAATTATAAATAGAAAAGAACCATTAGCATTTTAAAAAACACTAACATTGTGTATTCTGAACCACGTGCTAGTTACAATTCATTGTCTGTAGCACAGCACCAATACCCATGATACATTTGAAAAGAATGAAACTACCATATTCAGACAAGAGAAAAAAAACCTGTTTCCTTTATGAATATTGTCATAATGAGGCTGTAGCATTTTCTGTTAACTGTATTACCTATACCTTGCTGCACTTACACCTAGTTTCACCTTAATTTTTGGAGTGTTTGTTTTGATCAATCATAAGAGCAACATAATTATTTGAAAGGCTTCAGACTACAACAGCAAGTAACTTTCACTGCTAAAAAAATAAATAAATTTATCTTTCAAATCAAAATTATTATAAAAGTGAAAATTATAGTTAAGGAAATAGAAAAACAAGCCAATTATGATCTGAGTCTTCTGACTATGTCTCCAAATTTAATAATACAAATATCTGTGTATAAAACTTTTTTTAAAAAGTTAATTCTGCCAGCCAGATCCTAACATGGAACTTCCCACACTGATCTTGAACTCCTGATTCTCCTGCCTCTGTCTTGTAAGTTAGCTGGGATTATAAACTGGTGCCTCTACACCCAGCCTATTTTGAATTTGAACTGAGTTTTCTCATGCTCAACTTAAAGCAAGTACAAGAGCTAACCCTCGATGAGTTTTGTTTTGTTGTTTTGAAATAGGGTCTTTCGCGGTAACCCCGGCTGGCTTAGAACTACTGCCCCCTCCCGCCTCAGCTGCCCAAGTGAAAACACTGTCATCAGCAGATGCCCCTTTTGCTCTAGGTCCCCTGTGTTTGATGTGACAGGCCCTGCTGTGTGCAATGTGGGAATCAGACAGAAGTGACAGCATAGAGGGCAGAGCCGGTCTGTCTGTTTCCACAGGATGAGTGGGTCCTGACTAAACAGTTGAAGTTGGCCCTGCAGCAACTTAGTAAACATTTATTTAGCACTTATTCCTTGTCTACCACTGTTCTAGGCTCTGGGGTACCAAAGTGAATAAACAGATTAAAAAGTCCTTGGCAAATGGAGCTTAGATTCTCTGGGGAAGGGCAAGTTAAGGATGAATAGACAATATTATGTGTACACACAACACAAACAGGACACAAATACACACAAAGGAAGTTACATAAAGTTAAGAGGCCTGTCTGGGGGCAGAATGTCAGGATTGATGGCGGTATATAACTTGAGATAATTCCATGTCACAAGCCTTGTAGAGAAGAGACTCTTGAATATTGGGACAGAGAAGTCCTCTCTGATCACATGGATGATGAGCATTTGCTTCACATCTTTTTTTTTTAAAATAGTTATAGAGGTGTTGGTTATTATGAATTGATGATTAAAAAATTAATTACGCCAAGTGTGGTGGTTCACACCTGTAAACCCAGCTACTTGGGACACAGAGGTTGAAAGGATCACAGTTTGAGGCTATCCTGAGGAAGAAAGTTGGTGAGACCCCTATCTTAACCAATGAGCCTGGGTTGATGGTGGGCCTTTGTTATCCCGGATACTCCAGAGGCATAAATAGAAAGATCACAGTCTAGACTGGCCAAGGCAGAGCACATCTGTCTGAAAAACTAAGGCAAAGAAAGACGGGCATGCGTCAGTGGCTTATGGTGCACAGTCTGCTAGCAAGTGCAAGGCCCTAAGTTTAGACCCTAGTATCAGGTCCCATCTGGAAGGTCAGAAGGCTCCTGCTGGTCATCCTTGTGTCCTTAGGCCTGGCACTGGACTGATGAGTGGTGATCTTTAAATGTGCCTACCAACACGTGAGCTGTTGACAAAGAAGTGAATGAGAAGCCTCACAAGCGAGATGTGTGTGTGTGTGCGCGCATCTGTGTAGTTGTGTTTGTGTGGGTGTTCAGTCTTTGTTTCTGTCTTCTTGGGTGTTCACTGAGGGAGTTTAGTGGATGGATAAATATTCATTTTCAGAGGTGCCGTCATATAGATATCTAAATCCTACCTCTATCATTAATTTACTGAGGGACTTTGGACGAGTCACCTGAAGTGCATGTACCTCAGTTTGCGAGGTGTGAAATGGGATAACGTTTTTATCTTCCCAGATAGCTTGGTGAATTTCTGTAAGTTCTTTTTTTTTTTTTTTGTCAATTGAACTCAGGGCCTGGGAGCCGTCCCTGAGCCTTTCTGCTTAAGGCTGGTGCTCTACCATTTTAAGCCATAGCTCCTCTTTGGTTTTCTGGTGGTTAATTGGAGGTAAGAGTCTCATGGACTTTCCTGCCTGAGCTGGCTTTGAACCGTGACTCTCAGGTCTCAGCCTCCTGAGTAGCTCAGATTACAGGCATGAGCCACTAGAGGCCAGCTCCCTGTCAGTTTTGAGACTATAATTTGCTCTTCAGGAAACCAAGTTGGAAAGGAATTACACTGTTCATTTCCAGTCCTTATGGTGACAGGACACGGAAGTAGTAAAGGTGAGAGAATGCTTCAGTATGGAAGGAAACAGGGAAACGAGCCATGTGTGAGCATAGGAAGCTGGATGGAGACAACCATAGCCATGAACGTAGGAGAGAAAGAGTCCATTCTTGAGTGAGAGTTGCCCATGGACCGCAACGTTGGTGTTGGGCATGCGTGACCTGGAGTTGTCCAATGATGTTGTTATCATCTTGTCTCAGGAAGGAGCCAGAGGCACAGAGAGGTTAAACAGAGCAGCCCAAGGCTGCTCAGTTCCTTAGGACAGAATACAAGATAGGCAGAGGAGACAGAGACACTGCTGTGGCTGGTCAGGCTGGCCAGGCCTGGGCATCCAGGTGACCCAGCCCTGTGTGGAAACTGTCTGATTGACGAGGGGGCAGCTTTTTCTATCCCTTGCCTCTCTGGGAATGGCTGTGAGAACCCTCGTTCACCGTGGATGGAAGGTAAAGAACGAGCCCTTTTTCACGCTCACATGAACACTCTGGGATATGAACCTGGGCCTGGTAGGCTAGTTCCCACAGCGGGCAGCTCATTCACTTGGTGACTTCCTAGGTCCATGAAAGAATCAGGAACCAGGAATCAAGGATTCCAAACCAGGACCTTCCTTGTTAAACTGGGGCGGGGGGGGGGAGGGGGGATGACAGCCTCCAAGGATGAAAGTCCAAATATATATATAATTATTGAATATATATTATATATTGATATATTGACAACATAAATAAGATATATCTATATCATTTTGCTATTTGTAATGCAATAGACGAATTACCACTTATTTCTCTCATAAGATATTATAACACTGGTATCATACAGTATGAAGATACTGGTTCTAGTGCTGGTATTCATATGTTCTTGAATGAACCCTTATAGTAGTTAATGGTTTCGTTGCATGCATAAGATAGAGGCAGAAAAGTGTATCTTTCAAGTACAATTACTCATAGTTTATAGAAGTTCCTCCTGTAGTTTAGATTTGTATCTGATTCATGCATGTAAAAATACACTTCTGAATCCCTTACTTATTTTCTTGTTTTGGTTGCTCTGTTCTTGGAGTCAGCATCAATTTTGGGAGCAGTAAAGCCACTTTCATTGTTTCCTGCGTTATTTTGTGTGTGCCAGTACTGAGGCCTGAACTTGGGACCTGGGTGCTGTCCCTCAGCTTTTTAGCTCAGGGCTAGTGCTCTACCACTTTAGCTATATCCCTGTTTCTGGCTTTTTGCTGGTTAATTAGAGATATGAGTCTCATAGACTTTCTTGCCTGGTTTGACTTTGAACTTTGAAGCTTCTGGAGTGGCTGGGCTTACAAGCATGAACCACTGGTACCTGGCATGTTTTCTATATTTTGGTCTAGTAGAGACAAATCAAAACAGTTTCACAAAGACAAAACAAGTCTGATGATTAAATCACATGCAATAGATTGGTGGGAAAAAAATAATAGGAAAGAAATGACCTAAAAAAAAAAAAGACATTTTGATTTAGGTGAAAAATCTTTGCCTGACAATTCTAAGAGTTCATTAGTATTCTTCATGTACTGAAAATTGCTAACATTATTCTTGAGATGGTGACAGTTTATCTCAGTTATCTTCTGCACGCACCACGGGGTGTAGCTTGAAATCTCAGCTATAGATGATCTTAGAAGATGTTGTGAAAGTTTCACGTTGGAAGTTCACTTTGTTCACTTCTTGAAGGGACAGTGGTAATTCCCGTAATCAGCTGGGCCTGTTTGTACAGCAGCCTTCCAGTGCTCTTGTTCTTTAGCTGGGTAAATAGTGCTTCACATTCCAGCCTTTATTCAAAGTCATCAATAGCAGGCATACCTCAAGACCACTTTTTTGGCAGTGTGTTAATGAATGTTTTGTTAAATTTATTTTTCCCCCATTTACCAAGGGCTGAAATATTTGATTTAATCTCAGTAGTGTTTAAAATAAACTTTTGTGGTTCAGTTTAGAAAGCTATTCTAGGCAAGGCCGGAGCTAAAGATGACTGGCTTGTTGGCCTATTGTTGGTGGAGGCAGAATCCAATTGAGAGCCATTGTCAGGCTTCTTGGACTTAAGACTTCTGATTTCTTCCTGGCTGGGTGGTGGTGGGCAGCAGGTGGATTTCAGCTCACTGGTTTTCTTGGCGGTCAGTGGTCATTCCTTGGATGACAACCTGCTGGGATCAGGGGAGAGCAGGGCAGGGTCTCAGTACAGGAAGTAAGTCAGTTGCATCGCCACTCAGTGTGAGAGAGGGTTCAGGCTGGGAAATGGGAAGGGGGTGTGCCAGGTCCGTGGGGAGCCCAGGTTAAATTTAGAAGGTTATGCCAACAGTTTTAAACATTTATTTATTATTGCTCGTATCCTTTAGTGCTCATGTCCTTTTTTTCCCTTCTTTTAGGATTGCCTTGTAGCCGCGATGGAGGACAAGGTTCTGACTGTAGTGAGTATGCTGTTCAGCAGTTACCATAAAATTCCCTTTCTGCAGGCAGTAAGGCCCACTCCCACCCAGACGCACAGGATTTGATTCCCTTCAGGGATATAACGAAACACTGTCTTTGGGGGGTATGAGTTTATTTATTTAAATGGAAGGAGAATAGTAAAAGTTATTTAATGAGACCAACAAGTGGGAAAATACATGTGCTCAAATGGAGCTGCATTTGGACTCTCTGTTTTTGTTTTCTTTTTCTTCTAAAGCGGTGTCTGGATGCAATTATACATATATTGTTAGTTTGGCCTACAAATCAGGGTTAAACTGGTGGGTATATTCCATTTTAGAACTATTTTGATTTAAAAAAAAAAACACATCTTTACGGCCTCTTTGTGATGGAGAGATGTCATGTGACCATTACAGAGGATTTTCCAAGTATTCCTCACTGCTTCCTCCTCTTGACCTAGGCCTGTTGGGGCTGTTTTGGTAAGGCCTTCCTCTGACTGGTGTTGAGGAATTTAGTCATGAAATAGCTATAAATATATTTCCCATAAATAGGGAGGCTAAACAAACCTGAGGAATGTCATGACGTGTCCCCAACTTGGATTCTCCCCCTTGGAAAGAAAAGTTACTCCTTAGAATTTCCTGATGCCGTTGTTTGTTTCGTTTTGAAAGGTTAGATGGATCTGATTGGGAGAAGTGTGACATGTAAACATGGTTTCATCTCAACAGAGATCTCTTACTAGAGATCCTCTCCTTAACTGTTACCAGTGTTGGGTACTCAGAAAATGTGAGTGACCATTGAGGAGTGATCTCTTTAACTCTTTAATGATCTCTTTAACTCTTTTAATGATCTCTGACCTAAATGCAAAATGCAAAGCAACAAAACTTCTTGGCGTTACCACTGGGGAATCTGGGTTTGGTGATGAGTTTTTAGATAGAGAACCAATAGCATAGTCCATAAAAGAGAAATTGACAATGTAGGCTTTATTAAAATTAGAAAATTTCCTTCTGAATTATAGTACAAGTCTTGTTGTTTAGCCTAAGAGAAGATATATTTAGTAATTTCTTCTCAGGTATGGAACCACATTCATAACTAATGTGTTAGCCAGAGTAAAATTAGAAAATCTAATCTGTGAAATGCACTATTAAGACAATGACATAATAAGCTATAGAGTGAGAAAATATTTTCAAAACACATACCAAATGAAAAATTTGTAGCTAAAATATTGAAAGAACCCTTAAAAATCCAAGAGTGTGAAAACAATCCAGCTCACCCTTGTAACCCTAGCTACTCAGGAGGCTGAGATCTAAGGATCGTGGTTTGAAGCTAGCCTGGGCAGGAAAGTCGAAGAGATTCTTATCTCTAATTAAACACCAAAAAAGCTGACAGTGGAGCTGTGGCACAAGTGGTAGAGCATTAGCCTTGATACCGTGTAGGCTCTGAGTTCAAGCTTCAGGACCAAGAACATGCAAACAATAAGGTAGAGAAAACCCATATACCAGCTCACCAAAAAGGATACACAACCATCAGATAAACACAGGAAAGTGTTTAGCATCCTTTGCAATTAGGCAATGCAGTCACAACAATGAGATAGCACTGTACTATTAGAGTGGATAAAATGCAAAACCCTGACAATACCAAGTGCTGTTGAGGACAGAGAACAGGGTACAGTCACTGCTAGTCAGAATAGCGCATACTGTAGCCAGGTTAGAAGATCATTGGGCAGTTTCTTACAACACTAGACAGATTCTAGATGATTCTGTATGTGTTCTCCTCCTAGATATTTACCCAAAGGAGCTGGAAACTTAGGTCAACACAGAACTTCACCTAATTGCCCAGAATGTTGACAGTAGCTTTATTCACAATTGCTCCGAACAGGAGGCAGCCAAGCTGTCCTTTTACAGATGAATGGATAAACAGAAGCTCAGCAATAACAATGAAATGAGCTACCCAGTCCAAAAAGATGGAGGGAATTTAAACGAATATTGTTAAAGGAAATAAGCTAATGTGAGGAAGCCATATTCCAGAAGTGTCGAAGCTATGGAGACAGTGAAAAGATCAGTGATTGACTGGGCACCGGTGGCTCACACCTGTAATTCTAGCTACTCAGGAGGCTGAGATCTGAGGATCATGGTTGAAAGCCAGCCCCAGCGTGAAAGTCTGTGAGACTTTTTTGTTGTTGTTGTTGTTGGTCTTGGGGCCTGAACTCTGGGCCTGGGCACTAGTACTCTACCATTTAAGCCACAGTGCCACTTCCAGCTTTTTCTGCTCATGTGGTGCTGAGGAATCTAACCCAGGGCCTCATGCATGCAAGGCAAGCACTCTGCCACTGAGCCACCTTCCCAGTGCGCATCCCCCCCCCTCCCCCTTCGTGAGACTGTTACCTCCAATTAACCACCAGAAAACCAGAAATGGTGCTGTGGCTCAAGTGGTAGAGCGCTAGCTTGAGCTAAAGAGCTGAGGGACAGTGCCCAGGCCCAGAGTTCAAGCCCCATGACCAACAAAACAACAAAAAACATACACCAAAACAAAACAAAAAGATCAGTGATCGCCAGGGGTTCATGGTGGGGAGGAGGAGCATTGGATTTTTCAGGTTAGTTGATGAGGTTACTCTGTGTGATTCTTGCATTCAGATAACATTAGGCATTTGTCAAAATCAGGTGAGTGTACAGTGTCAACTGTGAATGTGAACATAAGTGACAGACTTCAGCTGTAAGATCTCAGTATTGTAACTAGCATGCCACACCAGTCAGTGCAAGATGGTAACAGAGCCGTCTGTAGTGAAGAGGGGATGGAAATGGAAACTAGTGCATTTGTTCAGTTTTTCTATAAACTTTCAATGACTTGAACAAGTCAAGGCTATTTTTTTTGTTAAAGTGGTTCAGGCCCCAAACTATATGTTGACCGTGTAAATATTTGGTATTCAGAGAATGCACAGTCACTACTAAGCCATCCCTGGGGCTGGGAGTTGATGCTTGTTCAAGAAAATTACTTCCTGGCATGTGTTTCTCAGTGGAGAAGGAGCGAATGTCAAAGCCACACTTTTTTAAGGAAGCTGAAATGCTGGCATTCCCTCAGATGGTGAATATGGAGTCGGAATGTGGTCGTTCACTGAGCAGAATTATCTGAATGATTGCTAACCGGAGTGAAAGATGATAGGTGATGTTTCTTTAAAAATCAGCCAGTGATAAACTTGGTTAATGATTAAGTTTTCCTGCTTTCTTCTCTGATTCTCGGATTCTAGGTCAAGGTATTAAATGGCATCTGTGATAAAACGATGCGCTCTACTACAGATCCTATAATGAGTCAGTGTGCGTGCCTAGAGGAAGTTCACTTACCAAATGTTAAACCCGGGGAAGGCCTGGTAAGCGTTCTAACAACACTCGTTTTATTTTCAAATAATACACACTAGCATTTGCTAGCGTTTTCTTTTTTTAAAAAAATCACTTTCAGTATAATTCCAGATAGTAGCATTAATGGAGAATACCATCTATTTATACCTTTAAGTTTTTGCTACCTTAACATTTGCTGATGTTTTATCTTCAAAGCACAAAAAAAACCCACAATTAAAAAACTATATACTTACATCTTAAAGTCTTATTTTTAGGACTTAGCCATGTAAGGAAGTAAGAAAACAGTTACATAGAGGTGAGATAGTATCAGGGTATGAAAACAACCTCCAGTTCTGAAAGTTTTCATTAGCACTTGGCATGCATGTGAGAAGAGGTTAGTGCGAGAAAGTAACTCCTTAAAGAAACAAAAACAAAAAACTTCAGCAATCTTTCCTAAGTCATGGGTAAGCCCTGAGAGTGGACACAGGTGATTTCTCAATGCGTAGCAGGCATCCCTTAGGATTCATTTGGTAAAACTTAAGTGCAGAAACCCTGGAGCCTGGTGATTAGCCTAGTAGCTCTGAGTGAAAGAGAAGGGAAAGGAAATTAGATGATTTATGCTACCCAATGCCCAGAGCAAAGAGCAGGAGCATTCCTTAGGGCCTGCAGCCTCCATGCTTGGTAGTTGTGGTGCTGGTGACACATGAGGAAGAGAAGGAGTGGAGTTCACAGTAGCTCTGGGGGATATTAAGACACCTGCTCTTAGAAAGGAAATCTAAGCCCAAGTACCAATAAGCCCAAGTTCCTCATGGGTACAAATATGTATCCTGATACTTAGCTTCAAAGTCAGAGGTGGATTATAGCAATTTAAGTTGAAACCAGAGAGGGATTCCTGGAGATGAATTCTTAAGTGTGGGAGTAGACACAGGTCTGGAGTGGCAGAGATGGAAATGGCATATTGTTACAGAGGGGGAAATATATAGACTCTGCAAATGGAAAGGGAAAGAACTTGAGAAGAAGGGGGGAGAACTTGAGGGCCTTTGTGTTTGATGAGATCCTCCTGTATATCACTACTAGAGATCAGGACAAGTTCAAGGTCAAAATTATTTCTACATTATTGCACTGTGGATATCAAGGAGAGCAAATACTTTTTGCTCTGTCTTGCTTTTTCCTTTTTGCCTCTCTCTCTGTTTCTCCTTTTCTGTCTTCAATAGCATAGCCAAAAGAGGAGATGAGGTGGTTCAGCTGCAGAAATATTTCCACCATGATACAGCACTTTATTAATGAACCAGTGCCTGTTACAGTTTTTCTACCTGTGTTGTAGTATTTAGCCATCTTTGCCCTGCAATTGCTGCTGATACCAATTTAACCGGCTGTATTGTGTCTCCGGACAAAAAGACGGTCAGGAAAGAAGTCCTTGATTAAAATGTCTCTCCCTCATTAAACAGAACCAAGAGAATTCCTACATCCAAAAGAGTTGTAGCAAATTTCTGCGCTCTGGGTACACAGATTATAATATCAAAGAGATTTCATGTCTGAGACCTTTCACTAGTATTTCTATTTGTTTAGTTTCCTTCACTGCCTTTTGGATTTTGTTTCTTGGTGTTGCAGGAGGCTTCAAAATGAACATTGTTCTGAAGGGACTGTGTTTTAATGTTTCAGAAGTTCAACTTTCACCTGCAGTTCGCTCTAATGAGTTCATATATTTGTGACTCTCCTTAGGGCATGTACATCAAATCTACCTATGATGGATTGCATGTGATTACTGGGACCACAGAAAACGTAAGTGTATCTGTTCAGTGTACAAAGCCATTGTGTGTTTAAACAGATGTGACATGCAGCTCTGCACTTTTCATTTCAATATGTATGTGGGTGCCTGGTTTGTTTATTGCTGTTGATGGGGTGCCATATTGTTTATCACCAGCTGTTGTCAATTTATTATTTAAATTTTCCTGTACTGTTCTTGTTTACACCACTTTTGCACCTTGGAAGTGTTAAGCCATAAATTCAACTGCAATTCTTTCTTGGTGGTTGTGAATTTCTCTTATAAGAACTGACATGGGTAACCATATGGATTAAATATGTTTTTACTTTTTTTTTGTTTGCTTCATGGAATTTTTATGTCTCCAGAGCAGCTATTTGGGGATTTTTTTACATGACACAGATTCTTTTTATAGAGTAGTATTTCATAATACTTGGCGTGATAATGAAATTTAATCCTAGACTCCAGGGCTTTGAGAAAGAAAAGCAGATCTGTTTCTACTGAGAGAGACTTTTGTACACTGTTTACTTCCTTCTGGAAACTCTCCTGTGTGCAGAGTTGTTCTTTCTCCCCTCAAACATTTTTAATTTTTATATATATTTACATAGATAGATGCATTCTTCTTGAAATCTGCAGGGTAGCTGACTTTGGAGTGGCATGAGTCACAAGAAGCTAGAAATGTTTGCATAGTTCTCCTGCATCTGTGCCAAAGAGTCATGTGTCTAAGCAATGAATCTACTAGTTAATCAATTTAAGAGAGGAGGGATTAATCCCCAAAGGTAGGGGAGGCTTTGGTAGTTGTTTTCCTCATCTGTGTGGTAGAAATGCATGATTACTTTTGAGCTTCAGCTTCTGGGTCTTTTTTTTTTT